CACGCTTTTAGAACAGTGACATTCATTTTCTCGTCAGTCATTTTATTCTTATGTTAACAATTATTTTTTACTTTTTAGTTTGATTAACTCTAAAAGCGTGTTTTTTAGTTTTTTTAAACTATTAATTTATTTTTAGGAAAAAAAGTCTCTCGATATAAATAAAAACATCGATTACAAAACATTTTGTATAAAAGAGATTTCTGTGCATGAATTTCTTTGAAAAAAATGCTTAATATTCAAATATTTACGGATCGTATTCGTGTTATCATACATGAATGAAAAATGTCAATTTTTTAAATTTATTTGTATTATGGATTATTATTTTTATTATTATTCATAAAAAATTCTGAATAGGACATTTAATAACACAGAAAAAAAAAGAGAATTTCTCGGAAATTGTATACACATTAAATAAGAATTTAATCACAGTTCAATAAATTATTAAATTAAATTATGCAAAAAAATATGAAAGCATAGTAAAAAAAATAAAAAAAAGTCTTCGGAAACCATGTTGCCATTCAATATCAAATGTTTGATTAAATGAAAATCATATACTATGGTATATGATATGGTATCTATACTACGGTGTATGGTCATATGATCAATATGATCATATAATACGATAATTGATGATGAAATGCAAACATTTCTAAACATCTTCACTTTTTCGAATTTTTTTTATTTAGAACGCAGGGATCAGGAATTCTAGACCGTCTGCAGTCCAAGAGTCTTTCTTGGAACCACAAGAACATGAGATGCGACCTAGCCAAGATTTGGACGCATTCTTCGGCAAATTTCACGAACCTTCCCGGGCACTTGGCGACTGGGAAACAAGCAATTCCATTTCCGGTCCATCAATGGCGCAGTCCGGAACTAAGAAAAAAGGTGGAAGCGAGTCCATGCAGTTTCCTTCCTGGGGTGCTCCGGAAGAGGTCGGCATGTTCGGCAGGTTCGTCGACTTCGACGAAAATGTGCCCATCATCACCAGAGACCGTGGCCTGAAATCCAACACTGGAGGGTGGTCTGAGCCTCTGTTTTCGCCTCCGTCCTACGCAACTGGGGTAAGTTATGATTTATGGAAAGCATAAGAACTTCTTCTTCAATGGTACAACAACCCCATGGTGGGCTAAAGCCGTTTGCCTATTGGCAGATTCTGAAATATGAGATGTTTTCTTTTTTACGGAGAAGGATTGTCAGTCCTACGCCAACGTCCCACAGTCACATTAGATCATTTTCCCAAACTGTAAAAGGGCAACTCAACTCTAGACACAGTGATGTAGTGTGGTGTAGTAGTAGTCGCATTAGATCGTCAACGGCCATACCATGCTGAATATATCGGTTCTCGTTCGATCACCGAAGTCAAGCATCATCGGAGTGATCAGTACTTGGGAGGTCGACCACATGGGAAACCGCTTGCCGTTGGCATTCAAATTTGGGGCTATGATAGCCGAGTGGCTAGAGCTCGGTACCACAGGTTTCGGGTTTTAATCCTGGCGGTGCCATGTATGTTTGGAGTGGTTCGGAATCCATTTTAAGCCGTAGGTCCTGATCTCATATGACCGTAGAGCGTCACGGAAACCAGTCAGACTTCTCTTACCCACATCATTCCCAAATTGTAAAGGGGCAACTCAGCTCTAGGCACAGTGGTGTGGTGTAGTAATAATAGTAGTAGTCACATTAGATCAGGTCCTAATATTTGAAGTGGATTCCGAATCCCTACAATCATCCATGGCACCGCTGGACTCGAACCCGAAACCTGTGGCACAGAGAGTTAGTCACTCTGCCATCAGGCCCCAAACATAATAGCTACCAGCCTATAATCCACGGATTATACGTTAAAAAAACTTAGAATTCTGTGGGAAGGCCCCGATTACAGGTTACAGCGTATAATATGTGGATATGTTTTTCCTGGAAGTTTTTTATACATTATTTTGGTGGTTGATGATTCAAAATCGATTAATCAATGATATTTATTTCAGTAAGTAAAGCTGATAAACTTTGTAAGAGCCATTGTTTGGAAACGAATGGTTTCATTCAATGTTGAACAATCCGTATAGACACTTCTCCGCATAGGTGTTCTGGTTAATTATCAAATTCTTTGTCATAGATTGTAATACCAGGAAGAACTATTTAATAAATAAAAACGATGGCTAAAAGTTTTTCATTACTTAAGAGTCATTAATTTTTTTTACAATACATAATTGTATTTGAATAATAATAATAATTATTATTTCTTTTTAAATAAAGATGCCTTATGTCATTTTCTCGGGTATTAATATGTAAATTACATTAAGTGTCAATAGCGAATCTAAAAACTAGAGCTCTAAAACTGTATAACAGAAAGTTCATTAACAAGAGTTTTTGACATTTAAAAAAATACCCACTAATCAATTTTTTAATTAACTTAATCATTGGTGGCAATATTGGTAAATATTGTAGAAGGATATACTTTCTTCACAACTGCGATACATTTTTTGCCCTGCTCTTATGATGAAACTATTTGAGTTAGGTATTATATAACTCACAGTAATAGATAATATAACAAACAGCAATAAATAACATAGGAATTTATACATTAATTAATTCAATATTTGAAATCGTTAAAAAAAATCTTAGAAATATATAATATAAGCTTATTACATAAATTCTAACATTGAAAATATTACGAAGTAAAACGTATAAAGATCAGAATCTTTGTTTCATGCTTCAATTATCACAAGCCGGTTGTATTTTTTTCCTAAGTAAGGATTAACTACGTCATGCTCGAATCTAAAATTCTCTAATAAAGTATTTCTTATTAATAAGACTTGTTGCGAGGAATATCTGAAATTTTTCCATCATAAATTAGGTTTAGGTTTAGTTTGCCACTCTACGGTCATTTTTTTGCACACTTTAAGATAATTAAACCGGGAGCTACAGTTTAACGTGGATTCCGAAACCACTAACAAACATCCATGACACCGCCAGAATTCGAACCTGAAGCCTGTGGTCCAAAGGCCAGAGCGCTAATCAATTGGCCATCAGCCCGCTTTCCATCATAGACGCACAATATGACGTTTATCTTGTATTGTGCAATTGTATTCGCAATTTTTTCTACATTCTTTTTTACATTTGGCTAATTATTTTTTACTTAATTATTACACTAGCCTAATTATTTTTAATTTTTGCATTTAAATTTTTTGGTCGAATTCTTTTGAAGTAGGATTATTTATGCTGTTTTCATCCTTACGAATTTATCTCTTATTATTATTTGTTTTCTAAATTAACGCTATTCAATAACAAAAAATGAACATTAAAACACAATGTAATAATTCATCTTTAGAGCTAATGGACAAAACATCATTTTGTTGCCCGAATAAAGCGATCTTTTTTATGAAACAATTAAATCAACCGATAAGAATTGCAGCTCGGGGATCTAAAAGGCATGTCACTGAAGAAATTCTTCCAACGCCTCATTAAATTAGGAAACCAGAAATTCTAATCTTTTGCACGCGAATTGACTCTCGGTTAACATCGTGTCGTTACATATCTGCACTTTATTATTTTTACTCTCCGGGGAACAATCTGTGGTTGTTTTAACACGTGATGTAATCTTCTGTTATTAAGAATCTTAATATCTATTTCTGGAGGAGGATTTTCGCATCACTGATGCTGCTGCGATTTGGGTTCGTCAAAAAGATTGCGATAATTATACTAATTTCAATTATGACGCTCGGGTTCGGGGTGAGATGAAAGTTGTTCTATCTTTGGACGTTCGTGACAGTGTTACTTCTCTTTCTCTTCTTGGCGTGCGCTTAATAACAGAAAATGTTTCCATTTCTGTGCGTAATCCTTTTTTGATTTTCACCTAAAATAAGTGCTTTCTTTTTTTTCGTTTTCACACAAAATGATAAAAATAATTTGACTTACATCGTTGAGACGAAAATAGCGCTAGAAGATTCATTTGCATAAATTATCAGTATTAGACATAACAGTGGCTGCCAAAAGAGTTGCATTTCTTCGTTTGGATTACTGGCACTATTTTCAATGTCAGAATGTATGTAATAAGTTTATATTATATATTCATTAGGTATTTTTATGACGATTTCAAATATTGAATACGTTTTAGAGCGATCATTATTCTGATGAAACTGGCCAATTCCCGATGTGTCAATGCAAATAGGAAGTGACGATAGCGTATATGTAGAAGCGCACAAAATGAGCAAATTAGTCTCCCATCCATTTCCGTATCAAAAAAAAAAAAAAAAATTGCCAAACTTGTTGTCTTGACTCTCATATTGGAAATTTAATTTTTCTTAATAATTTTTCATTATTATCATAGCTCATTGCCAATGATGCCAGATTATAAGAATGCTCGTACTCTACATACAAATTCGGAGACTGGTATAAAGTATCGATGGAATCAAGGTAGAAAGTGAATGGGTTTCGCTGTACACCATACTTGGGTTTCTCATTAAAAACCGGATAAACCAGATCTTGTAACCAAATAAACACATAAACAACAACAACAAAATCTTAAATTTTACTAATGCTATGAAGTATAGTACATTGTAGCAATAATAAAATTTAGAAGAAATTTAAAGCCACACAAAGATTTTGTGCTGCAGCATGTTTCATTTCCTCATAATCCTTTCGTATGTGGCCTCGATAATGGGAATGATACATTAACGGTGTACATTTCCAATGAGACACAGACAAAAAAATCATTAAATGTGGTTTGATTTCAATAAATAATGAAATTACTAAATGTGATAATCATCATGTATGATTTAATTTCACTGAAAGAGTAATCGTTAAATGTGGTTCGGTTTCACTATGGTAATCACTAAATGTGGTTTGGTTTCATTAAATGTAGTAATCACTAAATGCAGTACTCCCAAAATCCTTAAATGGGGTAATAATTGCCCATACGCAACAAAACTTACTTGAACGTAGATCCTTCACATTAACAATGCAGGATACTGAGCAGGTACAACTACACGAAAACACCCACACTAGAGAAAGGTGTGAATCGAAATCTAAATAATCACTAGGCCACGAGCTTGGCAGAAGAAGATACTTAAAAAAATATTTGTAAATCATTTTAGAGATAGGGGCGTTTTACAAGGATTCTGAGCTAGATTGAGGAGTCCCCTTACTGCAAGCCCAAATTGTGATAAAAAGTGATTAGTAAAAGAGGTGTAGGTGGAATTTCGTAATCATATATGTTCCAATGCCTCTTAGGAAGATACCATCCATTTTGCGAACAAATGATATAGATACTCATAGACAATCGATTACTAAACGATGTCATTAAATATTTATAAAATTAAAGGGGGGATTTCCGTCTTTAGGACAGGTCGACGATCTTTCACAGTCAACGCCAACAAACAGCGATAGGCGGCGATTGAGCTGGTTTATGGTGCCAAGTTTGGTTGTTGATGTGTGCTTTGGTTAGATGCCTCCGCACAAAAAAAAGTTCATTAGATGACGTAATTATTTGAGTGTAAAATATCCGAGTGGTTATGTGTTTCCACTTTAAAAAATAGTTCTCTGAAGCATTTTATTAAAATTAAGCTTTTTCCGTTCTGTAAATTTTTCTTCCTTATTTTGGATTTCATTTGACGCTATTTCCATACATAATTTGCACTGGCATTTAAATTCATTTTTGTAATATATTTTTTTAAACTGAATTTTTTAACACTTTCGTTTGATTTATTTCCATTATGTTTTTCATGCTTATTCTGTGTTATTTTTTTTTTATATTCTGCTGTTGTTTCATAAATACAAAATATTTATTCAATTGATAGAAACTGGGAATGCATCATATATCAAAATAAGTGTTCTTCGTGACACTGCATCATGTTCACTCTGTTCTCTTTTTTTGACTATACGATAGCTAATTATCAAACTTAGAAAAAAGAAAAAATTTAAATTTAACAAATATATTTTTTTCACTAAAAAATATACAGTGAGGATATGTGTTACTTTTATTTAAAATAGAAAAATCCTTTTTCTTATTAAATCAATTTCTTTTTAATTTACAAATAAAATTTACACGTTAATTAATTGTATAAAACAATAATAATAATAGCAAACAGGAAAATTGTGATATTTTCTTCTTTCTTTTTTAATAACACGTACGATGATTTTTGAAACCCCGAATATCATTTTGAATCACCTTCTTTATTCTCTGTACGGTATATTAAAAAATCAAATAAAAGAGACTAAAAAGAATGGAAAAAATTTAAATTAAAGGCAGCTTTAAAATTTTTTTTTACGTCTTCATTTCTGGAATCGCTGGCTTGAGAATAAGCAAGACATACATTTTAATAATAAAAGAGAAAGGAAATTTCAAACATTGCGAAAAGTTAAGGCTCGTTTACTGTTAATCATGAAAAATTTTATCAGTTTCTTTTACAATTCAGCACTTCGGACAGA